CGCATGTTATGGACTCCACTTTATAGCCCCATTTCTTAATGGGGCTCTGCATCTCATGGAAATAAAACTAATAGAATATATGTATGGAACTGGATAAAATAGCTTACATTTAATGCAATCTTATTGTAGCTTATGTTGTAGCTCCATCTATGCTATGTTTTGTTATTGATAATTTGATTTGCACTGATTACATTGGGTCTTATCCTATGTAAACCACATAGTGTTTACACATTAATGTAATTCCATAGAATTTTGTTTTTTCGAAATGCAGTCCTCTGATGCTAATCAAACCAAGGCTTTGAGCTGAGCCATAATTCACACACACACACACACACACCCCACTGAGTACTGGGGCAAAGGTTTCTTTAAAACATATATTCAAAATGACCTTAAGTTCTCATGTTTATTATTGTTTTACTGACTATTTTTGGGAAAAAACTTGTATTTCTCCCCAATATTGTCATATTAACAGAACTATGCATAAATTCTATATGGGGCTACAAATGCTATTGTTGCAGCAATATTGGTGTTCTCCTAGTGCTTTCCACAACCAACATGAAGAGTGTAAATACTGTGAAACTTTTAAAAACTTAAAAAAATATCCATGTACAAGTATTGGATTCTACTCCCACTGAAGGAAGATATCCGAGTAAAAATAATAAGAATTAGGGCACCTTTATATGTTTATAAATCAACTATATGTATATAGGTTTCAATGCATCCACAGCCTTCTTCCTTCAGTTCTTTACAGTATTCAAAAATTTAACTGCATGAGATTTGTTTCTTGTATTGTTCTTTCCCTCTTCTTTCATTCAGTGGCTTCTGTCCAGTTCCACTACATTTGGACTCTTTTTTGCTGTGCATAAGTGCCAAAAGTATTTGGCATGAATAAATGTAAGAACTCTATAATGTCCTTTTTACAGAGTCACTCTTCTGACTTATTCCACTCATATATATCTTTGCACACATGCACACACACACACACACACACACACACACAGTTATTCCGTGCATGGAACTATTCACACATCATGTTGAAATACTTGATCGGTGAAGTGCATTGGCAGTTGTTCTTTCGTTTTATAGAACTGTTAAATCCATGTCCAAGTCAATTGTGTTAGGTCAGAATGAAACACCAGCTGACAGGCAGGGGAAATGAATACTCCCTTCTTTATTCATTGATCAGACTTTACTGTAAGAAACAAAGTGTTGTTAGCCTCATTCAGGGAAGGACAACTTCAAGGTCTGATTATTCTGATCTGTGTTTTCATTTACAAAAACTTAAGCTGTGTATATATGGCCAAAATTAAGTAGACTCACTACTGAGCTGCTCTAGGAAGTCCACCTGACACACAACTGGATTCACAGCAGAACCACTGCATCCAACCATTAATCCGGATCAACAGATCATGGAATTTACTCCAGAGCTTCCAGGAAGCTTTGAAGTAATCCTGCAGTTCTAGAGGTGTGGACAGCTGGATCCGACTCAATCCACTATCTAAATCACCAGATGGACCTATTTCTGCATCACCAACAGCAGGTAGTCCCCTCTCAAGGGTTTTCAGATAACATCACATTTCTGGAGATGTCACATCAGGGTATCAAGTCATGTGGCCATAAATGTGCTATTGCCAGCAAATCTCTGGGAGAGAGCTGCTTGTTGCTGAAAATGCAGTGGTGGTCACAGTGTGCCCTTGGCATGGCTGGCCATGTTGTTGGCGGAAGAGTTACAGGGATGTTCCCGGTGTGCATTGAAGCAGCTCCAGGGTGCTTTAAATTGGATTGATCCAGTAGATGTAGACAATGCCTTAGTCCTATCCTCCTTATGATGCCTATTCATGTAGGAAATTAGTAGAAGCACTACTCCCTATTCAATAAGATCTTTGCTTCATTTTTACACGTTCTTTCAATGTGTGTGGCTTGGGCACGCTGCATGGGAGTATGTCTGCAGGTTTATACTCAGTGGTTTCACAATCTCCGGTTCTCAGGGGACCTTATCTTCATCATTATTCCATTCAAGTTCACCACTGGTGTTCCCTATCCCCATTCACGCTTTAAAACTACGTACAGAGAAGCAGATGGCTGAATAATGTGCCATTTGAGACAAAAAAGCAAATAAACTTTATGTATGTATTTATTTGTATGCTATCTTTCTTGCATCATGGAAACTCAAGGAGACCCAAGTGAGATCCCAGGTAGTCATCAGGAAGGTCTAGACAGCCATTTAAAAGGTCTAGACCTGCTTAGTTTTAGCAAAGGTTGCTACATCACGTGTCTTTAGCAAAGCTTGGAAATTTTACTTTTTTTCTTTTCTGAATCTCATTTTTTTTTAGTAGGAGTAATTTTTATTGATTAGCCCTTAGGCCATATCACAATAAGAAACAGAGCAACAAGGCCTGACAAGACCCGATCACACTCCACGTAGTAAGTTAAAATAAGACACTTATAATAATACAGTAAATACATATGATAAGACATGATAAAACTGATAAACTGATCAAGCTGAGTATATACATCATATTTCATTATCACCCCTACAATTTACCCCAATCAGCCCTACATATGTGGTTCTCAGACGTATTGTTTTGCTTAAGTACAGAGCTGTTTTATATGTTATTTTTGGGTCTTGGCCACACATAAAATATGTTGTTCTGATGTGAGAATCCCAATACATTGTCCGTTTGATATATGGACCAAGGTGGAAGTCTCTCACCTTTTGATACAATTTGCAATCAAACAATATGTGTGCTATATCCTCAATTTCAGGTGCCCCGCAGATACAACTCCGTTCATTATAAGGGATGCTGTTAAATCTCCCGTATCTAAGTATCATGGCTGTTGACAGAAGGAGTCTGGGAACCCCCCAAAAGTAACTTTTTCAAGGTTTTGGTCTTCTGAGAATATTCCTTTTTAATTATAAAGACTTAATAATTTATTCTCAAGGGTCTGGTCATTTTTTTCCTCCATAGGTCCTGCCAGTTTCACATCCAGCATGAGATTCAATTGACACAATTCTCAAGCAAGCATTTATATATAATTCCCATGGAAGCTGCATATGTAATTGGTGAGGAACTTGTGGGAAGAATATAGAAAATGGGGTGGGTTAGGGGCTGAGTGAGGTTTTTCAGGATTGTGTAAAGAAGCCTCAAACTCAGTTGAAAGCTCCCGTGCAGGGAAACAGGCTGGCCTATGATTATAAATTATTCAGTTTAATGACTAAACCAGCCATGGAAATTAATTTGATATCTTGTTCCTTGGAGTCCGATACTGCACAACACTTCTGACTGGCTGGATATTTTTTTCTGGGGAATGGTTAGTTTTTATTTCTGCAGTGTAGGCATAAGCTCCTGAATTGTGGTAAAAATGACTCATGCAGTGCAGAGAGCCCAGTTTGGTGATTTCAATTGGTGCCTGACTTGGTTCAGAATGGTCGAGACCAGGGTAAAGCTATACTACAGAATTAATACAGTTTGATACTACTATAACTGCCATGATTCAATGCTATGGGATAATGAAAGTTGTAGTCTCACAACAATTTTGCATTCTCCAACAAAGAGTACTGGTACCTCACCAGGATTCCATAGCACAGAGCTACGACAGCTAAAAGTGGTATCAAAATGTATTAATTCTACAATGTAGTTGCACCCTAATATGCTCTCTCACATAACCAGCTAATATCAAAAGTAAAGAAGGATAAGATTGGATTGAGAAAGCAGTGGAAAAGGCGTTCCCTGAACTAAGCAGTATGATTGGAGGCAACTGGTGGGATTTTTGCCTCAGATTGGAAGCTACCACTCTCCACCCCAATAATTTCCTTTTATTAAGCAGTTTTGCAATATTTTGGAGACATTCTGTCTGGCTGTCTTTTACTGTATTATGATGTCTGCACCATTGAATTGTTTTGAATCACCGGAGACCAATTTGGCCAGATCTGGATGCAAGCTGAGCCAATCCAAAATATTTCAAATCTGATCTAGGCTGGTCCAATTTGATCTGGAATTCAGGTTTCAGTGGCAGAGTGATGCCCTCTTTAGCTTCCCTGATGGCCCCTTTAACTGCTCTTGTGACAATTTGCTGGGGGATATGGGAACACCCAACTTGGCTAAATTTATAAACTATCAGAAGGTTACACCTATTGATTTTCTTAAGAATTTTCCATTCTTGTCTTGTAATTTCAGTGACACTCATGGAAATAAGTTCCACACTCTGAGAATGTGCAAAATTTAAAAGTATGTTATGGTTACAAACCAGTTTTGTTTGACCACAGTGAGGAAACACTCACTTGACAGTGACCAATGCTGATCCATTGAAAAGGCTGACATAACATATCTTTGTTGTGTGCTATCAAATTGTTTCTGGCTTATGACACCCCGTAGGTAAAACTGTCACAGGCTTTCTTCAGTTGAGAATGTGTGACTCTCACCCAAGGTGGGTTTCTATGGTCACCTGGGGAATTGAAACTAGATCCCAGAGTCATACTCCAATGCTCAAAACATTACATCATGGGTGCATCTATATTGTAGAATTAATGCAGTTTGACTCAACATTAACTAACATGGCTCACTGCCATGGAATCATGGGAATTGTAGTTTTACAAGATTCTTTACCAAAAAGAGCTGAAGTTTCACCAAACTAGAAGTATTCAATAGAACTGAGCCATGGCAACAAAAGTTATGCCAAACTGCATTATTTCTACAGTGTAGATGCACCTTCTGTGTCTTAATTGATTGTATCATAAGTGTAACTCTTTTATTTATTTATTTTGTGATTACATCACAGACCTGTGTTATTTGTTTTACTGCTTAGATCTGATCATCTAAGACAATATTGCAAATACCTTTAGTTGGTCCAATATTACCATAAATGATCATGAACATGAAAGCACTTAAATAAACACTGAACAACCACAACATCAATAATAACTCAATTTCAAATATGTTTCTCCTAGTATTATGACACAAACCCCCTTTTTACATCCAGGACCAAGATTTTGGACGTACCTGCTGTGTTCTTGTGGAAAAGACTGCTCAACATCCACTGAGAGTAAGGCCATAGCTGAGACTGCCTCTGTCTCTTCTCTCTCTTGTTTCTGACTGTCTGCCAATTTACAGCTAACTGGCACAGCATAAGGCTCCACAGACTTCCAGTACTTGCCTAAGGAAAATACATCATAATTTATGGGAATTTTAGCTAGCACGGTGGTATAAACCCTAATAATTGTTTAGATCCAAGACGGAGTACTTAGAAGTGTGCAAGCAGTTATAATTGGGATTTCAAACTGCTGTGATGAAGTTATGTTTCTGGATCCTACCGTGCCAAGTTGGAAAGTATTCTCTTTCCAAGGGCTATCTCAGAACCTTCCCAAGAAAGTAATAAACTCAAAGAACAGCACACACAGTTTAATGAACTCCCAGCATCTGAGAAGCAGGCAGCAGTGGATTCTTTTGAGAGAATGAGAACTTGCTGTAGTATCAGTGAACTGCAGCATCTGACATTTCTAAGAATGGTTGGTCCATTTGATGTAGCCATAAATAGGAAACAGGAGAAAGAGAATATTAGAGATGACTGTAACAGGAACAGAAGTTAGGGATGCCAGAAGGGACGACTACACTGTTATGTTGCCAGAACAATCCAGTTTGTTAGTCCTGGATGTTCTTTTGCCTCTAACCTCAGGGTATGTACTAGAACAATAATTTATTTAACATGTTAATATATGTACAGGCTGTGGTTGGAGAACTGCAGTATATTATAGGGTGGCGTAGAAAAAAGGTAGGCAAGGAAATATTCATACATTATATAATATATGGATTGTGGGTTTAAAAAAACATACATAGTTTGAAGTCGTTTGCTTTTCACTGCAAAAACCCTTTGAAAAGTGAAGCAAGATATCCAACGGGAAGGGAAAAAAATAAATTCACAAATGGCACATCCCTATTCACCCTGGTCCAATAAACTTTCAAGTGCTTCTTGCTTATTTCTCTACAGATGACAAAGTGTGTGAAAGGGTTGGTGGGCCAGCATGAATTCCAAAGATATGCTGAGGCTGTGAGACATATGCACTGCAGTTTGACTTATATGCAGGAATTAGCAAATGACCTACTGGCAGACAACAACCTGGCAAATCCACCACAGACACATAGGTTCTCTGAGGGACACATACTCCAACCAGGCAGAACCCAACTGGCACTTAGAGCACCTTCTCATCAACCACCCCAAGACTGTGGCTGACCTGTCAGAAGGCATTTGACAGCTAAATCAGCTGTCAGAATTCAAGATATAACTTAAGACCTATCTTTTCTGGCAGGCCTACCAGTCAATTTTAAACTTAGAATTTTAGCCTGCATTTTATTGATATTTGTATTGGCCTTTGTCATGTGTATTTTCATATATGCATTTAATGGTGTTGTGTTTGTCTGTCTGTTATAACCATGTTGTACCCACCTTGAGCCATAGGGAGAGGGGGATTATCATCATCATCATTATCATCATCCTAGTCTCATTGTCTTCCTTGGCTTGTTTAGGAGAGGGGTACAGTGGAGAGAAGAGCCTTCTCAGTGGTGGCTTCCCAACTTTAGATGTGCCTTAGATAGAGGAGTATTGCTCCCTCCTTGCTCTCCTTCTACTGGGAAATGATTTTTTTCCCTATTCCTACAAGTTTGTTAGAAAGTAAGTGTAGTGGGTTTTAATGTTTAATGTTTTGATCTGTAGTGGGTTTTAATATGTAATATTTTGATCTTTTCTATAATCCGTCTTTCAACAAATTTTGCAATAATTATTTTTAATACTATAAGAAGTTGATTTGTATTTAAAAATAACTTTTAGATATAGGTTACTGATTCTTTTGGATGTTTTTAATCTATTCTGGCTTAACATTCTATTGGCTGCCTAGAGTTCTGACACTGGGACTTCATTTATATTAGATAAATGAAGAAAATAACAACTACAGCAACTCTAGGCAATTAGACAAATAGCATCCCTTTTGAAGGACTAGGGTTTATTATAATTTCTCAAGAAGTCATGCATTATTGTCATCATCATCATCATCATCATTGTGTGTATATTTAAATCTCACTTTAGCTATGTTTTTAAAAAAATGCACACATGATTTTGTACATATTTTTCCTTGAAATGTATCAGAAATGCATAAATTTCCAGTCACAGGTGTGAAATGAATATTTAGATAATAAAATATACAAACTAGTTTATTTTCAATCAATAAATTTGGTTTGTTTCAAAACAAGAAAATGATAGAGCCTCCAAATGGTTCATTTATGGCTCTTCAGTAGACAGATGTAAGTCAGGAGTTTAAACTATAATGACATTTTGTATTATACAAATTATGAAATATTTTTTAAACATTCAATTTTAGTTCTGATATGATTTTGTGTTTTCCCCCCAAATTTTTTTGTATCAATTGCCATAGTTTTAGAATTTTAATTTGGATAGTTGTGTTATGCAGGCTTTGCTTTATGAATGTAACCGCATGCAGCAGAACTTTCCTTTTAGCATGTCAGTATGAACTCAATGTTCACAATGTCACTGCTGTAGCTCTTCTTCCCTCTTTTCTCTGATATAGTAAATATTATATCTGTCATATGAAGCTGCATTTGAATCCAGTGAAAACCATATACAACTTGTGTGGTACTACCTCTTCAGGTCCTGATGGAAATCTCAGGAAGCTAATTTGGGAGGTTCTGCCAAAGTTTGGAAGGAAATAGTTTTGGATGACAACTCCAAGAATTCCTTAAGAGCATTCTGGGAACTTTAGTTCCATCCCAAAAGACTTGGAAATTCCAGACATTTAGTCCTTAGCAGCCCAGACAACTGGAATATAAGTTTGCAGCAAAGATGAAAACATGCTGGAGTTGGATGAAAAATTATTGTCACTATTTTTTTTTTTAAAAAAGATGAGAATGTACTGAAATTCACAAATTACTTTTATATTAAGAGTTACCATAAAGTTGCACTGGGGGGCTTAGCAAATGCCTCAAAAGGATACATCTTTAGGAGTTTTCATGGCCCTCAGAGTGGAGGCTCTGTTGAAGCTTCCACTGCTGGGTAGAAGAAGCAGGGGAGACTGACTCTGTGATAACTTCCAGTAGAAACCATATATTTTAATAGTTTTCTTGTTTCAGGAACATATTCCCAATTGAACCTCTAAAATCTAATTTACCAGAAATTAAAAGCTATTTAAAATTAACTTTTAAAACATCAGAATATTTAATTATGTGACAAACACATAATCCAACACTTTGAATTCTTAAGTATTCAATATCATGATTCCCACCACCATGTTGGTGGTTCACGGACACCGTCAGCTTGATCTAAATCACTTATGATGTGGAAAGTAATATAGCTGCAGTCACCCAAAACATTAGTTTCATCAACAAAAGCAGAAAGACCAAGTCAAGAGAAAAGAGACATCCTCCTTGATCAAGTAGTAACACAATGGAGGTGTAGGTTAATTTTAAAACCATACCTCCAAGACAATTTGAGTTGCTACTAGCAGGATCTTTATATAAAAGGGAATTTTAAGGGTATAAAGCCTAAAGCATATAACATTAAATATCTAAAAATAAATTAAAAATACTTGAAATAAACTTGGCTTTTCTCCAGTGATGTAAAACCCATGTCTAAAATCTGTATGTAAAGCACTAAACAATGACCATGTCTGGCAAATGCCATGTAAACACACACACACACCACAAAAATCCTCTGTTAGCGCTACATTTAGAAACTAAAAATATCAATTCATTAGAACAACAAAAAATTAATAAAAAGTTATATGAGCATTCCACAAGGTTCCCACAGAACATTTAACCAATAGACTTTGTAATGAACAAGTAATTCAAACCCATTATTTATGGGTTTTCAGTGTTCACAAATTGGGTGGGTTTTTTTTTTGCTAGAAAAACAGACGTACAAGAAAGCCAGATCTGTTGGCACAAGACTAATACCATAAAAGAAAGGAACCCATGTTCACTGGTTGAAGTTTGAAGGACATTAGTAAAATGAATGAATAGCAAGTCCCAAGTAAGGTAGTCATACAGCATATGCCATATTTTCAAAATATCCCCAAATCAAATATCAGCCTTTTCGGAGAGGGCTTTAAAAATGTTTCCCTAAAAGTCTAGAGTGCTTCTGCCAGTCAGTGTTGACAGTGCTGAATTATGTGAACTAATAGTATTATCCAATATATTGTGCTTTGAAAGTATACATATTCTGGTAGACTGAGAGTATACTGTGACACTCATGTATAAGTATACATTTTTGGACCACCAAAACCTGGGCCAACGTACACACAGGCCCCTCCAAACCTGGGTAGACTTATACGTGGGTCCCTTCAAATGCTTGTTAAAAAAAGGTGGCCACCACGACACCAGTGGAGGATCTGTTGAGGCTTCCACTGCTGGGTAAAAGAAGCAGGGAAGATAGCCACTTCTCTCGGGTTATTTTAGCATGGACTAAACTCTGAAATCCCAGATTTTAATCCATAGTGAGAAATCCTAAAAAGAAGCAATTCTGCCTTTTTCTTTCACCCAACAAGGCTCCATTGAAATTTGGGTTATACAACTATTCAGTTAATAATATCTATTATATTATATAATATGTGCCCGTTCCTTGAGAAATCTGACTTGGCCACGGTGGTTCACGCTCTTGTTACATCCCAAATAGACTACTGCAACGCACTCTACATGGGGCTGCCTTTGAAGACTGCCCGGAATCTTCAACTAGTCCAATGGTCGGCAGCCAGAGCGACATACAGGGAACATACAAGTCCTTTGTTACGTCAACTCTGCTGGCTGCTGATCAGCTTCTGAGCACAATTCAAAGTGCTGGTTTTAACCTTTAAAGCCCTAAACAGTTCTGGCTGAACATATCTCATCTCACGAACCATCACAAAGTTTAAGATCTTCAGGAGAGGCCCTGCTCTCAATCCCACCATTATCGCAAATGCGGTTGGTGAGGACGAGAGACAGGGCATTCTCGGCAGTGGCCGCCTATCTGTGGAACTCTCTTCCCAGGGCCATCAGGTTGGCCACCTCCCTCCTGTCCTTTAGAAGACAAGTGAAGACTTGGCTCTGGGACCAGGCGTTTGATTAATTGGATAGTGGCAATTGGAAAAAAGACAGGATATTTATGACATTGAACCTGCCTAGACTTGGATTTGGTTTTACTGGCATGTATAATCTACTGTCTAATGAATTGTATAATGTGTTTTAATGATTTTTAATGTTTTAATGATTTTTAATGCTTTAATTGTACTTCAAATTGTTTACTTGTTGACAGCATTGTATGGTGCTTGTGTGAGGCTGCCCGGAGTCCCCCTTTGGGGGGAGAAGGGCGGGGTAAAAGTGCATGAAATAAACAAATAAATAAAATACATGTATAAACCTAAAACTCACTGTGAATTTCTGTGATCTTCTGCAAGGACACCATTGCATTCGCATTAGGGGCTTGATGGAGGGTATCTTCAGAGAGTGGTTCCAGCTGCATGGGAAAAACAAAACAAGGGCAAAAGAGTACAAAAACGTCATAAGCCACATGGAAGCAACTCGTACTTAAGCCTCATGGAAATCCAAGCCAGAGAAGCAGTGAGCTCACATGTTGTGGGGATTCCTCCCACGGAACAGAGAGGAGGACACCCGCCTTCCCTTCTGTTTTTCTGCCATGTAATTGAATTCCGAGGGGCCTTCCCTCTGACTGCAAGATTAATCTATGGAGTCTCTCAAGCAGGTGCAGGTCTGTATATTAGTCATTTAAAAATGCTAGTTATTTGGGTAATTTTGGTTGGCTCCTCACAAATCAAATCCCATTGTGCCGAGAGGAGCAGCTGTATGCCAAAACAAAATGTTGGTTTAGAACTGACAGGGCATGCTGTCGTGCTTAATTTCTTACCACTCCCAACCTCCATCACCAGAAATATAATTCAGAGAAGGGGAAAATCAGAAATGACATTTGCACACATTGAATATTGTATTTTTGCAAATGCTATTAGATATCCTCAAGCAGAAGGCTTGCATAAAAAAACCTAAAAAACCTACCAGCGGAATACCTTTGCTACTACTTGAACTATTGACAGCACACTTAGGGAAATTTGTCCTGTGTCTGCCTTTACTGGTGTAGATTACTTTGCTGTGGATGTGTTCTTGTGGCTAAGAGTGATTGATCATCAGCACCATGTCCTCTCCCATTGGAACAACTGCGTTTGTGGCAACCAGAAACCCCAGTTGTTTCTTGAACCAGAAAAATTAGCAACTCTGCACTTGAAAGACCTTGAACACATAACACGTGCTTGGAGTTTAAGGGTGAAGACACGACCTATGTACAAATGGGTAATTTGAACCACTTTTACAGAATCAACAGGCTATAAAATAATGATATTTAGTCCCCCCTGTTTCCCCTCCCTGATAAACATATGAAGGATATAGGGTTATTTTTTTAAGATGGTTTTCTATGTACAGTGTAGAGGTTGTCAATTCTGAATCCAGTTGGATTTAGGCCAGTGTTTTTCAAATGGGAGTCTGTATCTATGGTGTCAGATCTATGATGACCCGTAAATCATTGCTGGCTGTTGCAGTTATGGAGAGATGAGAATTAGAAGTTATACATACCTAAGTTAACAATAGATCTAAATGTATGTGTGGTGCAGTGACATTGAAATGGAGTCATGCACCTTAGCTACCTTGTTTTTTCCTGTTCTCCAGTCCTTAGGACTAATAATGTCAACATTATCTGATACTATGGCCAGTTCCAACTTTTGACTTTGATCACACTTGGATTTCCATTCTCTCACACACATAATTCACTTGAAACTGGAAAATAAAACTTAATGAACTAAAATATGCACACTGTACTTATCTTCTTTTGCACTCTCTGTGCCATTTTGTATGTTACTTTTTTCTTTCATGATGGATATTAGTTACCTTTTTTCTCAATAAAATATTTTTGGTAATCAGAAAAACAAAGAATTCTACTTTACGGTGTGGGGTTGCATTATTGAAATGATTTCCAATTGCAGGTTCCTTTCGTAGTTGGAATTGCAAGAACCATCTTCCTCATAAGCTGTAGTTTTGGGTGACTTTCTGATTAACCTTCTGTCATTCCATTTTTCAGCTGTTTCAAAATGTCCAATTTTTCTCTCTCCTTCCCCAAATTTCCCCCTTAGTCCTTGGTTTATTTAAATTGCTTCAATCTGAGTCCAATATGCAAAAGTAATGTGTACTTCATTGATTCAGCAGGAGATATAGGATAAGAAGGAGAAGATTCTTTCCTACAAACACAGGCAAAAGCAAATGCTTCAGCCTCTCCTAACTTCTGTGCTCTTCCTCATTAATAACATTTTTTTGTCTTGATCACAGTCTGCTGTTGCTTGGCCACATTTATCCTGGCTTTCATCTGCAAAATGTTGGAACATGTGTGATGGGATTTGAGGGATAGCTCCAATGCTCTTTGTTTCCTATTGAAATTTTTCAGTGGCAAAGTAGCTATGAAAAACCCCTTTTCAGAATATTAGTGATTGCTGTCATTCTCTGGTCAACTTCTGCTGTTTGTTAGTAATCTTCATCACGGTCCAGAAACATGGCCAATACATACTCTGCATAAACTATTGTAATGAAAAAGTCACTAATAAAATAAAATTAGTTAGCAGACAACAATAACTTTGAAAAAGAGAGGATGTCTATATCACCAAGAATAATTTCTGGTGGCAGTGATCCATATTTTTTCCTCTTTTAAACTTAATCATTAAACTAAATAGACAAGAGGGCATCCCTGGAAAATATCATGAGACCAGCACTGAACAAAAGGAATCACTCCAGAGCTGACAGACATAGCACCGTCACCTTCACTCCTCCACTTCTTGGCATTCTATTAACTCTGGAGCCAAAGAGTACAAAAACTGCAAAAAGATGCTGGAAGGACATCTTTATAAAAGAATTCTGCATAAACAACCCACTAAGGTCAGCTCAGGAGCAACACAGCTCATTTGATGGATAGGCCTGCAAAGATACACCGAGGAATATTTTTCAAACGGTTGACACTAGCCCACTTGGCCTGCGTTATGCTTTCTTGTCTTTGCTTCCAGAGCGATCCATGTTCACAAGGGAACTATTTTCAAAGAAAGGCCACGTTGTGGCTGCCAAAGCTCCACTGTCCTTTACAAGCAGATGTGAGCTAATGATATCATGTGGTTTTAACATTCTTGGTCAAGGTGGGAAATTTGAGGGTGGATGGAAGATACATAGATAGATAGAGAGGGGGAAAGAGCTGCTTTATATGGAATTGGCTTCTATCTGTTTTGTCTAATACTGTTAATACAGTCAGTCCTCTACATTCACTGGGCTTAGAGACTGCCCCACAAAAACCATTGGTTAAAAATTCCTCCAGATTCTTCCATCTCTCTTGGAATTTTTTGGTTCTCCAGCATGACTGCTGGAAGCTGTCTATAGCAGGGATCCACAAACTAAGGCTCTCCAAGGTCATTTACCTGCCCCCCAGCCTAAATTTTGGAGTTAGGGTTACCCTAAGTCTGAAACAACTTGAAGACACACAACAATAATCCTAATTAACTTGACTGTCTCATCAGCCAAAAACCAGGCCTAGACTTCCAATTGAAATCCTGGTAAGTTTATGTTGGTTAAAATTGTTCTGCATTTTAAATATCATATTTCTCTTTCATTTTTTTTTGCATTGGAACTACGATATATATAGTGTGCATAGGAATTCATTCATGTTTTTTCAAACTATAGTCTGGCCCCCCAAGTGTCTGAGGGACTGTGAACTGGCTCTCTGCTTAAAATGTTTGAGGATGCTTAGTGTTATAGAAATGCTCTAGAAGACCTAGAGGTTGAAAGGAAATCTCCCTAGGAATCTCTCTGTCCTCCAGGTGGTCATTCTGTGATCAACCTTTGGAGGAAAATGGGTAAAGAATCACACTGGAGAATTAATCTCTGTTTGCAATAACAAAAAGAGCAAGTTCCATTTCACTTGCAGTTCAACATCTCCCATTTTGCAGCATAAGTAATGTTCACCTGCATTGTTACAGGGTCTGCACTTTCTAACGGTAGAGAAGAAATATCACATGGTTTAAGTGATGCTTTGCATTTCCATGGTCCACCGTGTTGTACGGGTTGAAGCAACCACAAGGTGGGTGAGAGCAGATTGTGTAACATTTAGCAGTTTGTATATTTTAGTATTATTTACTTTTGAGAAAATCGTTAAACCTTTCAAGGCCTTAGAATTATAATGGTAACGAATTACTTTTAATGGCAATTCCTCAGGATCTGGTGTTGCTTCATCATTGTGACCCATCTTGAATTCAGTTGATTCCCACAAGGGTGAATTCCTCTGATTGCATTTATTTGGTTAAAGCAACTTGAATTTTTTACAATTCCAATTTATTTAATTTTAAATGCACATAGATATAAAGTTTGGACTGGAAAAACCTCAGACTCAAGTCAATCTTCCAAACCAAGATTACATTTTGTCCCAATGAAAATATTCATATAGTGTTGTGATAAGGCTGTTTAAAGCAACATCCAAATCCATGTATGATGATGAATTTTGATGAGTTGATTTAGAGACTCCTGTGAAAACCTGTTGTCTTATTCAATCAAAGTGCTCAAATTACAGTCTGAAACTGTGTGACACTCGGAACCATTTGTCTGTTGGCAAGCCATTCTTTTTTCTAATTAACTGAATCCATCACTCTTTTTGTTTTGACAGGTGCCTTATAATGGATGTGGTCTAAAGTCGCCAACTAAACAGGTCATGGGTATTTTGCATTAGCTCAGTCCCCTTCACCCAGTACTTGAATTAAGAATGTCAGTATTTTTACTTCAGATTTTAGGAAGAATCCAACTGTTTAACCTGTTCTACATCCCCCAGTAAGCTTTTGTTCTAACAGGCTACCTGTGGTGATAAGTGGGAAAGAAATTTCTCAATAGCATGGAGGAGGAGGAGGAGGCAAAGAGGAAGAAGTCACAACTGCTGTCATCTCTACCCACTGATTTTTGTTCACTGATGACATTCAACATTTATGGATTTGAATCCCATAGAAGAGGAATGGAACAGTGCATTCTAGCCTCACCTGTGTCCATACTGGGTGTACTCTCAATCTTTGCTCAGTGGGTGAAACATGTGAAATCTAGAATGGAAAAATCTGAAAGCATGATGCGTTTGACTGAACACATGAAGCATCCTCTGTGTAACTATGAACATGGTTATGAATCACTGGGATTCTAAGCACGTTCAGCTGAGCATGTCCTTCTTAATGTGGGAAGACTGGGCACATTTCTCCCTCTGCATTTGCTCTAGAGGTGGATGGAAATTGAGTTTCATTTCATTTTCAATAGTAATTCATCAATAATTTTTTTTGGGATAGAAAGAATAAAATAATACATCATTGATTAGACAAATTTATCCATGCTGGTGCAGGGCATAAGGTCCTTAACCAAGGGGTGGATGTGGGTGATGTGTAGTCTATGCTC